ATGACCTACCTCTGGATCTCAGATAACCCCCAAATATCTGATGTACAAAAGTGGTTGCCTGAGTTTGCCTGTCCAATCTGACAATAAATGACAATAATTCAGTATTAGACTGGATATAAGCATGCAGTCATTACAGTTAATGCACTGATGAATGATGAAATGCTTATTTCATGCCTTATAATGCTAGTAAACTGGCAAACAAAATTGCATTGTGTGAACTCACTTGTTTCCAGGCAGGCAGGACTTTTGCATAGCATCCACTGTGTACCTCAAGAACTCATGGGCATCTTCTTGACTTCCAAATCTGAAATGCTTTCCAATCCCTGAGGATAAGAACAAAAGATCAGTGGACTATGTTATAAATAACTGTCATCCTGAACCATTCCTTATCCCTTAAATTAAAAGCACTGTGGCTGTGCTGCTTGTTTTTATATGAACTAAGTTTTAACCTTAATAATTATTTTGTCAAAACCCTCAACTCCTATCTAGCACCATATCTGCAGTTGTACCACCTTTTTATGTAGCACTTGAGCGTTATATTAATAGTTTAGTAAATTGTAATTTTGTCACATGATTTCAAAGAAAATGTTACATCTTAAACTGAGCACTCACGTTTTAGCTCATTAAGCACACTGATAGGCTTAATGACGTTTCCAGAGTTGGCGAATACTTGGATGATGTGATTTTGCATGGTACACATCATGCAAAACCCAGGCTCATGACCTGCATGTAAAGAAGAAGAATGTACAGCATTAGAGAAAAGGCATGCTAAGCATATATACAATGTTGCAAAATCTTGCACACTTGCATGTTTTGGAATGCTCTCTGATCAGCATGTAGTTGGCAAGGGGAGCCGTGTAGGTCAGACACTGCAGGGTAGAGTTTAGGAAACATGTGTTGCCCAGGTTATGGAGACCTGCTCCAACGCGGTGGCCCTGGTTCCATTTCAAGCAAAGCCGCTCTGGGGAAAACAGGACTTTTTGAGGAAGAGCAATGCCATCCCCACTGGTCATGACCACTGCATGGTCCAAAAAAACAAAAAGAGACATATATTACACAAACAATGCAACATAACCTATTGTTGTACTTTAAAAGTGGTGATACAAAAAGCACTTGCCTTGCTCTCGGGGCCTTTCGACTTGGAGTGCTGTGTTATCACTACCATTCAGAGTCACTCCAATGGTCGAGGCCGTACAGGCAGTCTTGGCCCTTGAAATCTCAGTGGCAGAAGGGCCAACACTCCAGCTCGAACTACTGCTCTCCATGTCTCTGGAGGAGAAAGGTGTCAGGGAGCTGGAGTGCTTGCACCGCACTGACTCCAGGTCAGGTTTCTCTGGAGGTTTGTCAACTATGGTCATTATTCATTTTCTGTGGAAAAACAGACGCGCGTCAACTCGATCATTTTTGACAAGGCAGACAGATTTTTCATTGGCATGTGAAGTGGTTTTAAAGGCACATGTTCGGGTTAAACTAGTCAGGTGTCAAATGCAACAGGTAACTGAGAGGAAAGCAAAAACTCTCTAGCACAAAGTTGCTTTGCTCCTCAAAGGTAAAGATGTCTAGTGTAAACTGCTTCTGACCTTCTCTTACTCTAATAAAATATATAGTTTAAACAAACGGATATATTCATCAAACAATGTCCTAACAAATTATTTAAACAGGCCAGAACAATAAAACATACATAAATCATTGTTCATGTTACAGCACAGGGCCAGTGTAAACAACACTAATATATGCTAATTATACCACTTAATAAATGTGTGTTACTATGTAATATATGATTGCAATAACGTTTTTGGCTCAGTTTAAGTCTCGGCCATTTGTTTATTTAAAAAAAAAATTCGGTACATTAAATAAATGGTATTTCTTCAAGCCATTCAAAAGTTTAAAGTCTAACGTTATATTTGTCAACCTAAAAACTACATACCTTCATAAAAACATTTAGTCGCATAACTTCGTAACAAGTAAATACAGTGCAAAAAGACTAAAAACCACTAATACAGCATCAAAGAAGATAACGAGTTAAATGCCTAAGACATCGCGCTAAAGTGAAAGTACAACAAATACAAGTGAATGTTGAACCCCAAACACACTTAGTCGATTCTCACTACGCAAAACAACATCTAAAATTGTACGTATTCCTTTCCTTGTTAACGGCCAACCAAGATTTGATCGAATAAGCTTAATATGTGTTGATGTATTAACGCCGGTGTGTGTTGATGTACTGAGCTGCGCGCGCCAGCATGGGCCCGTGGCCTCCTCGGCTACTTCATGATAGCAATAGTTTACAGTAAACTCTCATATCAACACATTCCACCTCAGCAAAATGTGTGTACCTTTGATTACGTCGTCAGACTCTGACACTCAAAACACAGTTTAACAACTACAGTGGCGTTTCCGTGTGTGATTTTGCATGAGGAAATTATCCTGTAGTACAGTCTCCGCACGTCCGCCAACTGTTATCTGGTGTGCTCGGCTAAAGGCTTCTCGTGCGAGATAGGCCTCTGCCGCACGTTCTTTATACACCAAATACTACGGGTAAATATATTTGTAGTGGTAATAAATGTATGCGAAATTTAACTGGCTAGCCACATTTTTTGTTGGCGCCAGAAGTTCAGACTGATTTAAAGACCGCGGTATTGTACGTTAGCTACAAACGCCATGGTAACGGCGAAACGTAACAATACAGATGGAACATGGCATAAACAACTTCCAGAAGCCCGTCTGTGAATAAATATGATGATATATGTGGTGTGTCTCTTTCACAAACAAACAATACAACAGTACTAAATTAAATGACCCAAATTTCGAATTTAATCGGAAGCAGGTAAAAAGGAGGGGCACGGTATTTAAAATTCACCGGTGCCTTGGGCAACGCCGAAGAAAGACTCGTTGCGAAACCCGGTGTTTTCAATTTCGTGCCACGCAATAAACGCAACCACACAACACGCGCTCTCCAAAAATCACCTTCAGCAATCATATGTGATATTTAAATCAAATAATGCACATACCTGTAAATTTATGATTAATTTAAATGAGTTCATCCATTCTAAAATCCAAAGAGCGTCCGGCGGTGAACAATGACGTAGTTTCACCACGGGCCCATCCGGGTTCTTTCGTAATGTCAGCCAACCCAGTGTCGTGTGGATGTGGCCTTATTGAACGCGACCGTCAAGGCAGTGAATGTCTTTGTTGCTGTCAACTCGTCGAGAATAACAGTTTCCGTGGCTATATTCAGAGTAGTGTTTCGTACACATTTATATTACTGTAGAGGCGTTTTATAGTGGGTAATGGGTATTAGTGGATCGTACGGTAGGTTGTGGCATCTCATTATCCAACATGAATGTTTTTTCTTATGTAAATCTCACTGTGTTATTTCTAAGTTAAAGTTTAAATTGTTCAGTACGATATATTGCATCATTATCATGAATATTAAAAATACCCCAAGGTCATTGATAAGGCTACAAAAGTTATTTTGAAATTATAACACTGGAATGCATTAATAATTAAGTTTAAAAATGTAAAGATGTCATCTTAAGTATTAAAACGATAAATATTATTGTCATGTTTATTAAGAATACTATTGCGGTACTATTTACTTTTGAGGTGATATTTACTCAGCTTTAAAGAGTCAGATAAATGGAGACTAATGCACCATTGGCATGGGACTTTACTTTACAAACCTTTTGTCAAGTTAAATATGGCACTCATTTATATACATACAAGCAGAGCTGCACTCACACATACAACCATTTCCAAACAACAATTCATATAATGTACAAATATTGAGCACTTATGGCATTTCAAAAGAGTGACTATTATTATATATTTTCTGGACTGTGTATTGCAGTTTGAGAGATCTGTAGCTCACTGATCTGTCTCCTGAGCTGAACAATTTCTTCTTCTTGTTCATCAAGCTTGCGTTTCAAACTGTGAATAACCTAAAATAAAGAATGCAAACAAAGTTACAAGATCAAACGTTTCTTCAAAGCAACAAAGGTAACTAAAATGTGATTATACATGAACTTTTGGTTTGTGTTCCATTTTGGGGGTAAAAAAAAAACATTAGAGTCACACATACCATGTCATTGGCGCTGAAGAGGTCACTCTGAAGTAACTGAGATGCACTTGGTCGCACTAAGGGATCAGTGCTGGTCAGTAGGGTGATACACTTGGCCAGAAGTGGCCAGCTTTTAGATAGAGTGTTGGGGATATTGCCCTGCCGTAGTTCTCCAAGTGTGTGCACACGCTCCATCTCGGTCCCAAATGGCTGGAATAACTCAAAGGCAATCACTCCTATACTGTACAGATCTGACTGTACAAATGAAACAAATACTGAGCATCAAGTTTTACTACCACATTTTTAGTATGTGTCTAAGATGAAACAGCCACGCACCGAAGTTCAGCCTAAAAAACATCAGACTTTACATTATAACAGTTTGTAACTTTACAGTTTTTTCTTACCTTTGAATCATAGTGAGAACCCTCAAATTGTTCTGGGGCAGCGTAAACAAAAGTTCCCACTCCACTAGTGTGAGCTGAATCTAGTGTGAAAAGTGTAATGAGAAATAATATGTTGCATTAGTTCACTGCTGCCATTGCTGCCATTTACTGTTACCTGCCAGTTAATCAGAGGTAGTTTCGCAACAAATGGGAAAATGAGGATAATCAATGTAAAAATGTATTTGTAAATATTATAGTTCAGAATTTGTAATAACTTAAAATACTCTTGTGAATACAGAAGAGGTTACAAGGCCTGTCACCTGTGTTTACACCTGCTTGAGAGCTGGAGGGCCGCTGCTCATGTTCATCCATTATTATGTTCCGGCAAGCCAATCCAAAGTCCCCTATCTTCACATGGCACTCAGGTCCATGAAGGAAAATGTTTCTAGGCTGTAAATAAATAAATATACTTGTAACAAACTTGCAACAAACAGACACTATAAAAACAGTAAGTGTGAGCAACCTTAAAATAATCGAAACTGAGATGCTATTAGGACTAAAAATTCTTTTGATTAAAATAAATAAAAAAAATTATGTGGAGAGAACCCATATTGTGCAGTTCCCATACAGATTTTGCATTATAAATGAATTTTTAAATCTTTTTTATATATATTTTTTTATTGTTACACAAATAGAAGATCCACAGTAATAAATATCCAAAATTATTTTGTTAAACAGTTTTAACATATTAATCGCTTTAAAAAAAATTACATTTGTTTAGGAATTTCATAGGTAACTGTGTATTCTAGCCTTTTGTTTATTAAAAAATGTGTGCAGATCCAAGTGGTATTCGGGCTTACTATTATATAGATTAAAAATACTTATGAGAAAGCAATTCATGCTTATAAGACTAAGTATCCAGAAGAGATGCGTGAGAAATACTGTGTTACCTTACTGTGACAAACAGATAGAATTTGTTTGTGAGGGACAAGAAGAGTGTTTGTCAAAGTGACTATCTGCAACTCATTTTATTTTGAAATAGTTGATTGTTAAATGCCATGCTGGCTGTATACTGTTGCTTTGCAAAAGTCCAACCTGCTTTGCAAATTGTTGTGCCACACCAGCCCAATATCTGTTATCAAAACACTAGGTCTCCTCCCATGCAGACTAATGCATTTACAGTTTCAAGCCAGACATGTACTAGATATTTGTGTGGTGAACAATACCAAGTTATGCAAACCAACAAAATAAGTACACATACCTTAAGGTCTCTATGCATAATACCACGGGAATGAATGTACTCCACTCCTTCAAGTATTTTCTTTAAAATTTTCAATGCGTGTTCAGAGTCAACTGACTCGCAAGGATCTGTGGATCAATGTATTGGTTAAAAAAATGCTAAAATAATCAAACAACACAATTATATGCTGTGATTGAATGTAAAAAAAAAAAATCTGTGATTGTAAGTCCATTGTATGCTCTGGAAATCAGCTTTTCTTGTCTTTCCTGTTCAGCCAATGTGTCAGCCAATGCAAAAACAGGAAACGGGTGTACTGTATGTAAGTGACTACTATATTTGTTATATAAGTGTTATATAAAGGAAGGGAATCTGAGCAATTTATAAGACTTCCAAAAAAGTACCTATTTAATGGCATTTAAAGAAAGAAGTGCAGACTATGTGTAGTGTAAGTATGTGAAGTGCAAACTCCTCTGTGAACTATAGTAAATTCATGTGAATAAAGTGATCTCACCTACTAACATCAAGAGTCCCTCTGTGGTCCTCAAGTTTCTTTCCTGTATCCAGTCTTTCAAAGATCGCTCACACAGCTGCATTTGTATATAAAGCATTAAATGGAATTGAACCTATAGACAGGAACAAGAAAAAATGATGAAAAACATAAAAGATTTCCTCATTTAAATCAATTGTTACATTCAGTGTTTAGTGAACCATATACCTCGTGTGCCTGCTTTTCGGACCATTCAGCAGTGTCCATATCAATGTAAGAGTTATTGTTCAATTCCAGTCTGTTTTGACTGAGGTCGTCCTCTGAGAGTGTTGAGCTCTCCCATTTAGCTGCAGGGCATTTGTTCACTGTAGCACGTGGCTTTCCCAGAAACACACATGGAACAAAGTTTTGTGGGTTGCGGACATTTTTTGGGCAAACAGCATGTCCCATCTCTTCTTTTAAAGTTGAGGGTTTCACTGAGAGGCTCTCTAATGCAACCTGATTTTCTTTGGCTTCTGCTTGTTCAGAATGTTCAAAAACAATGGACGATCCATTGCTGCTGATAGTGTTTTCCTGTGTACACCTGAAGCAAGAAACATTTTCAATATGCTATTGTAAACGTGTTACAATTAGTCAATTGTGTTGGGAAAAAAATGTTCAAACCATCTTACCCATCTTTCTGTAAAGGTTTCTCTAATGCTGTAAATGTTTGTGAAATAAGGGATTTTGGATCTAGTGAGAAAAACAGAAAATTGTACATGTTTGTATCATTTTTGTATGACTCAGGAAATACTGAATAAAGCAAAGCATGATTCAAATGGCTATATCTCCTAATGTAACAACATCAATACAGCAACTAACTTTTCACAGCAGGCTGAACATGCTCCATCCATGCTGTGTGATATCCAACAATATTGGGATGCTGAAGGCTGGAGAGCACTTTAACCTCTCTAAGAACCTGCAAGGAGATAAAAACAGATGCAATAAGGTATATTATCTCTAAATCATATAGATTTGGGGGGTAAATTACCACTATATTAACTGAATCTGTGACATACTTTACCTTCATACAGTCGTCTCTTGTTACTTTCTTGATGAGAATTTTTTTCACCGCATATTCCTGACCATCGAGCTTGTTTGTGACCTAAAACATTATTATTGTTTTTAGTAAGCACCTTTCAACGTCATGTGTTCACTCTATTTAAGAGTACAATATGATCAAAACATCTCCTTACTTTAAACACTTTGCCATAGGATCCTTTACCCAGTGTTGCGATTTCTTCAAATTCACTAAGGTAACGGGATGTGTGTGCTTGGAAAAGACCATCTTTGGTTCTAGGATAGATAAGCATATCTCAGTCATTTTAAAGTAAATGTAAAAGTACTGGTAGTACACTACCATTCAAAGGTTTCGGGTGAGTATAAGAAATTTTTCTTCAACAAGGATTAAGTTCCATTAAGTTGATCAAAAGTGACAGTGAAGACATTTATGATGTTACAAAAGATTACTTATATTTTAAATAAATTCTGTTCTTTTGAACTTTCTATTCATCAAAGAATCATAAAAATAAATCCACATTTACACCAAAATATTAAGCAGCACAACTGTTTTTTAGCATTGATAATAATAAGAAATATTTCTTGAACACCAAATTAGCATACCAGAATGATTTCTAAAGGATCATGTGACATTGAAGACTAGAGTAATGGCTGCTGAAAATGCAGCTTTGCCTTCACAGGAATCAATTACATTTTAAATAAATGCAGCCTTTGTGACTATAAGAGATTCTTTAAAAAACATTTAAAAAATCGGATCCTATTTGACCCTAAGCCTTTGAACAGTAGTGTATATTACGTGGAGCTTCTACAAGTGTAAAAGTGTTCACCTTAGGCTCTGGCCTTCTTTATTCAAGTATCTATGTTCCTGCAGAATCCAAAAGATGAACAGGTTTTTTGTTTTTGTTCATGAAAGCAACAGCTGCATAGAAGACATAAAAAAATAAATGAAATTGATGATGAATTATGTCGGATTACCTGGGGGAAGAGAGATGAGCTGGTCGCGTGCAGGAGCTCTGTGAATGCCCGGTTATGCTGTAGTCGGACCGTACTAAACTCATCACTGATAGCCAGTGGTGACAGGAGGTTCATGGCTGCTAAACGCTGGCCTATCACTGACAAATGTAAGACAAATAACAGATTATTAAAAAAAATAAACAAAAGGTGCCTATTTATAAGGCAGTATCAACCTACCCTTAAACAGCATGCGTGAGCGTGTTGGATCACTCTCGTACACAAAGCACAAGTGTTCCAGTAGAGATCCCAGCAGCAGTTGGTTGGGAATGGCAGAGGCAAATTCCTGGATCGATGGATACTGTCTCCCCGCCAGCAACACTTCACAGTTATTGTCCGAGTCTGAGGCTACATTTATATGACAATTAAAAACGTTGAATACTATATGTTTGACTATGTTTGAATATCAAATACACAAAATAAGTGAAAACTAGCCAAACTGAGTCTAAAAAGGACTTGGATTCGAGATTTCTTACCTTCTGCAATAACTTTGGCAATTAAAGCAATAATGTCATTTTCCCCTGAATCCATTTAGACACCAAGCATTTACGGTACTCTCTTAACAGCTGAGCAAAGAGAAATATACCAATGCTGCATCTTCAGTGTACAGTTGGGGTGGGTAAGGTCTAAATTCACTTATCAGCTTGAAACATTTTCAAGTTACCCCCCACACCCCTAATAAGTAACACAGATAAAATATTGGAGGAGGGACATCTTAAATCAATTTAGTTGTTTGGACATACTTTGACAGATTGTGCACATGATATTTAAAGCCATTATCATCCAAAGAGAGTAAATAACCTTAATTAATACTAGGTTTATACGCCCAAACTCTAGCCATGACTACAGTCATGAATGAAAGGGGCTGCACTTTATATTGCAGCGGACTCACTATCAAACTGGACGTCATCCTCCGTATCTGTCAGGCTGAATATTCCTCCTCTTGGTCCTCTGTCTCGAGTGGAAAGGCCCTGTCGGACATGAAAGCTACGGCTGTTAGCAGTGGAATCTACACGGCTACTCGAACTTTCTTCTGCCATGAGTCTCTCTTTTGTGTGAAACATGACGTTTTGCTAAAAGACACTTCTGTTCATCCCATTCAGTAGCTCCATTCAGAAGGGCCAAAATTTAAAAAAAAAACAGCCCTTTTAATTTGCCCCCCACTTCCACGTTTTAAAACCGGCCGAATAGAAATACCACGGCAAACCGACAGTGACCTGCCATGTTTCTACGGACAACAGTCAGGAAGTATCTCTAAGTTATTACCATGTGATGACGTGATGAACAACTTATGATAATATGCATCTAAACTTTAATCGAATAATCATTTGATTGATTTATTGTAGTTTCTACATACCTTTATCTCCATAAACAACACAAGTTACAATAAAATAACCTTAACAATGTTGTTGTTTCAGTGTCAGTTTCGTCTAATACTAGAATTGAACTTTTTACACAGTCCCTACTCAGGCAACCACGCGCAGGATGATGAAACCATAGACTGTATAGGATGAAACGTTTTAAAATAATGCATTAAAATCGGTACTTTAGTTTTATTACAATGCATCACAATCTGACACGTCAATAAAATGTAACCGATCAATAAGAAACAATAAAAAAGAAAACGCATTAATACGGAAAGACGAAACAGTGCACTTGGTGTACACAGTTGATCACATGCTACGCAAAACATGTGGTGACCTGACGTTGTGCGTCACACCGCGGGAAACGTCTACAGAGAGGCAGAGAGCTATTCAGTTGTGCGCATGTTTATTGCATATGAAATACTGAAGTGTGTTCCATTATAGTTCATCAGAACTAATTCCTTGTCGAAGCATTGGTTTTTGACACTGAGCAAGGAAAACACATTAAATTCCCGCTCCTTGTTTGACCTGGATACCGCAGGGAGCAGAAGCTATCAAAATACCTCAAATGCAACCCTTAAGTTAAGATTCTGTGACTGATACCATATATATTGCTACATAAAAAAATGTCAGACTCAAGGTAAGTGTTTATAGCTTTGCATATTAATTTTAGTAGTTTGCTACATTAGAACAACGAGAAATAATAGACTATAGTGATTGATAGAGATTATCTGCTATTCTGGACATACTGTTTACTATAGTGTTGTACAGTGCTGTTCACTAATGTTTCCCTTCATATTCTGTGTTTTAAATTCCTAGCACAGGTTCTGCTGGAGCCATAAAGGCAATAGACAAACAGTCTGTGCATCAGATCTGCTCTGGACAGGTGGTGCTGAGTCTGGCCACAGCTGTGAAAGAGCTGGTGGAGAACAGCATTGATGCTGGTGCCACTAATGTCGGTGAGCTCAAGGGATGAGAGCATGAGGAAACATTGCATTTGAGGTCATGCTACATTTGGTCAAGTGTCTTGTTTTCATACAGATGTCAAGCTAAAAGACAGTGGAATAGAGTTAGTGGAAGTTTCCGACAATGGAAAAGGTGTTGAGGAGCAAAACTTTGAGGGACTAAGTAAGTTGCCTTGTGAACATTAGAGATAAAAGACTGGCATGCTTACACTTCCGGTCAAAAGTTTGAAATAATTAAGATTTTTTTTAAAGGTTTTTGAAAGATATTTCTTATGCTTACCAAGGCTGTATTTATTCATATTTTTAAATGAATCCATTTATTCCTGTGATGGCAAAGCTGAATTTTAAGCAGCAATTGCTCTCATCTTCACTGTCACACGATTCTTTAGAAATCATTCTAATATGCTGATCTGGTGCTCGAGAAACATTTGATTATTATCAATGCTGAAAATAGTTTTTGCTGCTTTACTGAAGATCTGGAGTAATGGCTGCAGAAAATTCAGCTTTGCCATCACAGGGATAAATTATGTTTTAAAATATATTAAAATAGAAAACAGCTCTTTTAAATTGCAATAATATTTCACAATGTTACTGTTTTTATTATTGTATTTTTGATCAAATCATTTCAGGTGAGCATGAGAGACTTCTTTCAAAAACATTATGAAATCTAAATGATTTCTAATTTTTGACCGGTAGTAACTTATTTGTGTCCTTTCAACTTCTGCAGCTTTAAAACATCACACCTCTAAACTAAGAGATTTTTCCGACCTGATACACGTGGAGACGTTTGGGTTCCGTGGTGAAGCTCTGAGCTCACTTTGTGCTCTTAGGTAACACTTTACTTTGGATTTGTCCTCTTAATTCTTACAATATGAGTGTGATGATTATAGTATAGTGATGATCTCACAATTGTTCATGTTGTGATATCTTGTTTTGTTCATCTCTGATGACTAGTCTATCCACTAGTGATTCCTTAATGTACACTGTTTTTACTTATGATCGCAGTGATCTTAGTGTTGTGACCTGCCATGAGAGCGCTCAGATCGGAGCTCGGCTGGTGTATGACCATGATGGTCATCTCACTCAGCATGTGCCGCATCCCCGCCAACATGGCACAACTGTCACTCTGCAGAAACTCTTCTCCACATTACCTGTCCGACACAAGGAGTTCCAGCGCAACATCAAAAAGGTCTGCTGGGAGATACATGGGTACAGGGGTTTGCATCCATGTTTAGAAAGAAATTAACTAGAGTTTCTACACAGGAATATTCCAAGATGATTTTCGTCTTGCAGTCCTACTGCATCATCTCCACTGGTGTGCGTATTACATGTGCCAACCAGACGGGACAAGGCAAGCGCACCACAGTACTGTGCACCAGTGAGAGTAACAGCATGAGAGACAACATTGGAGCTGTGTTTGGACCTAAACAGGTGAGAATGACCTATTCTTTGTAGTGGATAATTTAAGAAGAGAAATTCTTGCATAGTGTTGTCAAAAGTAGCGATGTCGGTAGACCAGTCGGTACTGAAATTGTAAAAATGTGACAATACCAGCATTTCCCACTGGCATTTTGAGCGCTGTTGAGAGGATTCTTAAACACCTCTGATTGGCCATTGTGTTCACATGCTCAACAGAAATGTCTGTGATTGGCTACAATGATATGATCATTACTTCATTGCATCAGATCCGTCTATGAGCAGATATATTAGGGATCCGCTGATAGATGCAGCTTCGGTATGGTCACATTTTTTAAATTTCAGTACTGACATCAGTACTTTTGGCAACACTGTTCTTACACCAATATTGACAAACAGAACACACTTTGTTATATAATCATAACAAAGTACTTTTATGATTATTTATCCCTGTTGTTTGAAAGTAACATGTATTTCACATTTTTACTTCTCCACAGCTACAAAGTTTGATTCCCTTCCAACAAATATCTCCCGGTGAATCAATTAAGGAAGACTATGGTCTCGGGGAGGTAGATGTTCCTAAAGACCTTTTTGTGTGAGTTTTTCTGTGTAAACACATGACTTTGTTTGTGCACTTTCTGCAAATAAGGTAATGAAAACCATTTTATAACTTGGAATATTCCTGTGTAAAGTGATCGTTATTGATGATATTAAATTCTAGCATTGACGGGTTTGTGTCACAAGCGGATCATGGTGTTGGTCGAAGTGCTACTGACAGACAGTTCTTCTTTATCAATAAAAGACCCTGTGATCCAGTAAAGGTGTGGTCTCTTTTTTTTTTTAGTATGCTTTTTTGTGTTCATATAATTATATATATAATAAGTATAACATCATTATTGTTGTTGTTTTTTTGTAATATTTGCAGGCCTCCAAGCTTGTGAATGAGGTTTATCACATGTACAATCGGCATCAATACCCTTTTGTCGCTCTAAACATCACTGTTGCTTCAGGTAAGACTTGACAGAACAATAAAGAAATTTAATTGTATATAAAAGTGTACACTACTGTTACACTACTGTAGCATTTGATTTTAATTGATGAAAGGTGTCAGTAAAATATTTACAATGTTACAAAAAATTTATTATTAATAAACTCTGTTCTTCTAAACTTTCTATTAATTAAAAATTCATATACAGTGTATATATATATATATATATATATATA